GGAGAATATGTTTTCTTTCATGTACACGTCTTATGATTGTAGAAATGAATAAAAATGTTGCCTTTGTTTTAACTATGAATCTGGACATGCAATCTGAAAGCGGACAAGAAAGACAATGTTAATCTAATGTTTCATATAAACTCCCTATAAATTACCAATAGGTGATGACTTCCAATGAACTGTTTCCACAAAAAGTAAAAAAATACTCTCTGTCGTAAGTGAAAACATGGTTCCATTCGTATGTGACAAGTGACGAGCGTCACCTTTCTCACGAACTCCAGCCTTTCCACCCTTCACCCTTGTTCTCTCCATCAACATCTTTTGTAGCTGTTTCGATAATGCATCAAGATAATATGAAAGGCACACCCAGTCTCTATATCCACACGATGCCAATACCATATGAACACATTGGATATGGTTTTTTTAATGTACCAAAGAATGGCAAACTATTATCATGGAATAGTGAACACTGACACCCAGTGACAAACTTTAACTTCAAAACCCACCTTTCATAACCCAGAAAGTGCATATTGCAACCCTGAACTCAAGGCTATAGTTGTTGTAAAAGAATCAATGAATTTCTACCGTGTTTTTAAATCTATTTGTCAAAAAGTGTGAAATTTTCCCATATTGGTCAGCATGTAGTGTTGATTTTACATATTTATTTTACTTTTTTTGAACACTTTGAATTTTTGGTCAAAAATTGACAAAATGGGCTGAAATTGAATTTCTATTGTGTATCCAAATATGTTTGTCAATAAGGTGTGAAATTTTCCCAGATTGTTCAGCCTGGTAGTATTGTTCAAATTTTTCGGGAGACTTTGATTTTTTGATCAAAATTTGACAAAAAGGATCTAAAATCAAATTTCTACTGTATTATTAAATCTGTTTGTTACGAATGTGAAAGTTTTGATTTGCATATATTTTTCAACTTTCATGTACACTTTGAAATTTTAGTAAAATTTTGACAAAAAGTGAGTGCTGACGTGGTTGCTGCATCCCAATCTATTCGATCAAATATCTGCCACGTATGCCAAAATCACCTTTAGGCCAAGTGAGAGGGGTAATTTGAATGGATTTGAGAGTTGAGTGTTGTGCTCGAACCGGTATTGGAGTTCAGGGTTGTAATTTAAACTAGAGCGAGTTCGGGATTGAAATATATACTTCACTCTTTGTAACCCTGACTCCTTGCAAAAAAGGATAACCCCAAACATCGAAGTGCATGCACCATCGGCGTCGTATCCAACCACTGAATGCCATATATCAGAGAATCTCACCACGTTGAACATGTTCAACAAAACTTCAAACAATGCCTTCAACTAAAAATTGACACATGCATGCCATTATTTGAAATGAATCAAACATGGGGTTTTCACCCCCAAAGTTCTAGAACTTGTCCTTGAAGATCATCACTAACCGGAAGTCATGTCTGTGTTGTCACCCCTGTCGACACTGTCATACTTCTCAGACTCAACCAATTGTAGCAAGACTAGAAACACCGGAGATACCCTAACATATAGTCCCTCCGTCCCAAAATAAGTGTCTCAACTTTGTACTAGCTCTAGTACAAAGTTGTACTAAGCTTGATACAGTTATTTTGGGACGGAGGGAGTATCTGGTGAGCGACTGGTACAAGTGCTAGACAATCCGGGCCTGTTTGGTAGCAATCTCAACCTAGCATGGTTGTTCTCCTCTCGTACATGCTGAGTGTTGACATGCCGAGTATATGCATTTGATGTTCTTTAGTAGCGGTGTATGTGCTCAGACATGCTCAGCTGAGACTTTATGGCAGCTTGCATCTGTTTAGACATGCTAAACAATTTCGAATTCCAAATATTTTTTTGAATGGCGAACAAAATTTGGAAAATGTGAACGCTTTTTTGAAAATTTAAACAAAACTTCGAATTTTGAACATTTGTGAAAATTTAAATAAAATTTTAGTATTTAAACAAAATTCGAAAGTATGAACACATTTGAAATTTAGAACATTTTGAAAATTTAAATAAATTAAGTAAATTTGAACACGTTTGTGAAAATTTAAACAAATTTAAATTTATGAACATTTCTTCAAAACTAAAACAAAATATGAAATTTTAAACAATTTTTGAAACTCTGAACATTTAAAAGAAGTTTATTTTTTTTGAAATTTAAAAGTAATATGAAAATAAAAATAAAATCTGAACATTTTTGGTAAATTCAAACAATTTTTGGATTTTTGAACATTTAAAAAAGTGGGATTTCTGAACATTTTCTGAAACACGTTGTTGCTCGCTTCGCTCGTGCATGCTAACTAGCGAACGAGGGTGTTCTCTCTTCGTGCATGTTACAAGGGTATTTGGGCAGAGCTCATGTATACTTGACTGGAGAACTACTGTTGGGGTGTTCTCTTTCCGTGCATGTTACGAGGGTATTTGAGATCAGCTCATGCATGGCGAGGAAACCCCGTGCAAACTATCAAAGTGGGTTGAGTAGGGAACTTTTACCCTCATGCACCATCCATACACCCTATCAAACACACCCTATGTGTTGACCAGGAACTCAGCAATTCAAGAAACCTTACAAGAAATGGATATGTGACAACAAGAAGGGCTTGAAACATGCATGACACAGACACATACCTGCCTGAAGTGATGTACATGTATGCACTCATGCTCCATGGAGATATGATCCGACACACACCATGGATAATGGACAATACAAAGTCCAAGAGGGCATGGTGTTCAAGTAGAATACTTTCCCATGTTTCCTCCCGCAACGTGTCATACAAAATGCCTATACTCAAAGCAAAGACTAGAAGAATTAACTGCCAGGCCGAGTTATGAACACAAAGAGTCACAAGGCGATAGTAGGAATAAATTAGTATTATCTTTGCAAAGAAAACCTCTTGGGAACTGTCTTGCCCAAGATTATGAGAAAAGATGAAAAACTTACACTAACATATAGTATTGCTTACTTGGATTGGAGGTATGTTTCTTCTGAACTTATTTTTGCGCACGTGCGGGTCTGAATATTTGTTGAGAAAGTTCAGTATTGAAGTAAATACCCAAACTTTGTTATTTTAACATTTTTTTAAGGGATTACTTTGTTCTTTTACATTTTTTTGAGCAAATGTTCTTTTACATGGAAATCCCTAAACTTTACCAAGAAGGGAGCTCTAATCTTTTTTTTCTAGTATTTCCTTCGTCCTAAAATGTTTGTCTTAGATTTGTCTAGTTACAGATGTATCTAATACTAAAACGACACTTGCTACATTCGTATTTAGATTTTTTTTAAAAAGGCTACATTCGTATTTAGATAAATCTAAGAAAAGAATTTTGAGACGGGGGAGTGCAAACAGGCTCTAATCGAACCGGGCCGCACGTACCCTGGGTC